GAAAGTGGATGGACTGCTGGCATAACTTTTGTTAATAATGATAGTGACTTCTGAGCTTTGGCACAGAGCAGTGAGTGGGTTTGCTGTGGTACTGGGGCAGTGTGGGTCAGGTGGGCTGGGATTTCTGTGGTGCGGGGGTGCCAGCAGGGGGCGCCGTGCTGGAAGGCCACCCCTGCCGACACAGGATTTGATGAGATACTTCAGGTGGGAAATGGTCACTTGTGAGGGTTGAGGTCTCTTCCATTTGCTGCAGCTGGCTGGAGAAAGGCATAAATCCTGTCTGTTTTACACAGAGGTGTGAAATAGTTTAATATGAGGAATAGGCTACTCTTAATAAGCTTTCCAGGTTTTATGCATGAAGTTTCTGTCACTAAAAAAAGGGGAAAAATCGATCCTTGCACTGCTCCTTTGTTTTTCTGGTTAGGATGAATTTGATTTTTTTTTTTTTTGAACTCGTTACTGTTGCATTGATATGGCCAAGATCAGTGTGTGGTATGATCCTCAGTGCCAGCCATACTCATCCTGATGTGTACTGATACTGTATTAATATAGTAGGGTTAATATCTCTGTTTTGTAATAAAGTACATCTTAAACCAGTAAGGTACTCTGTTTACGTATTAATAATGTAAGTCAGTTGGTAGAGGCAAATCAAGTTGAAGGTGAGAATGTGTTTTGAAAAGTATAAAAATATCTACAAAAGTGAAAGTACAAAAATACCTGATAGATGCAGTTTAGCTTCATAAATAATAATGGTTGGTGTTCCTGTGCACAATCCAGATTTACAGAGGATAACTGCTTATACCTCTTTGTACTTTCATTGTCAACCTTAATTCACACACAATATAAATAGCTGGAGTTTATGCATGTGACTTAGCAAAACAGTGAATCAAGTCAAATATGTTCTCAGAGGCACCTAGTAAACAAAAAGGAGTTTTTGTTCACTTTGCTGGATTTTGCTTGAAGGCAGCACACTCTGAAAAGCCATTCAGGTTCTGTTTCCATAAAAGTAACATCAGATCCTAGCTTCGGTTCTCTACTGAATGATACAAGGGAAGAAGGTGCTTGGTGTCCCTTTATATCTGATCTTTTGCTATGCAGGAAAAAAGAAAAGTGTTCTGTTTTTCAGTTAAATAGCCTCTGAGTGTAAGAGTTGAGAAGTGTTGCGATTGACGGGGCAGTTTTTCAGCCTTTTTGAGGGCAGGGTTGGTGTTAAATTGGATTCTGTGGCATTTGTCAGCTTTTGAATGGTTCCAGTCATTGTTGGCTGGCTAGTTAAGTGTATTAGAAGTTTCCCAAGTTGTCGAGGAGTGATATGCAGGGGTACTAGCAAAATATGGATGTGGAGCTCAGTTGAAAATCTTGGGTCTACCACTTGTGTTAGTTACATGTGCATGGAGAGGCTGCTGTAAGACCTCTTAGAAATGCTGAACTCTTGGTCCTAGCCACTTTAACATTCTAGTATTTTAACAGGTGGTCTTTTCTGATACTACCTGTAATCTTCTGATGTGTATACAACTCGTTTTCCAGCTTTCTGGACTTCTAGAATAGGGGTTTTTCAGTAATTTCCCATCTTTTTCCCAAAGGTTTGTTTTTCCTATTCAGGACTCTGAAGTATAGCAAAAATGAGAGTAAAAATCTCTGCATTGCCTGTAGGCTTCTGAGTAATAAGAGGCAGCTATGATTGTTTTGTAAATACCCAAACTGCAGTAGAGAATAAACTGACCTGTCTTCAGGCTCCAGCAGTTGGTGTAATATATTTTGCATACAATTCGTAGTTGTGTGGCTGTTGTATCATCCACAGTCATTATAACAACTTAGTGTAAAACTACACTAAAAAGTTTGGATACAGTTGGCTTACCCTATTAATTAACCGGAAGAAATCTTGCTATTTAAAAGGTTGAAACCTCAATTTTGTTTATGCATTTTTATACCACTTAAAAAAGGGTATCTTCCCCTAAATTGTGTTTGTAATACCATTGGGGCTGTGCTTGAGACAAAAAATGGAGTGATGATGTGGCCTGATACTGAGAAGACTTAGAGATATGAACAGTAGTTAATTTTATGTCCAGTACTTAATCCATTATGATTAAACCTTGCTGGTTAAGTAGAAATGACATCCCAAATATACATTCACACAGACACTGACTATGAGAAGTCTAATTTCTTTTTTTTTCTAACTCTAGACATTTTTTCCCTGTCAACATGCTTCTGTTTACCTTCTGGCTTATACTGTTTCGAGTTAAGAATTATAGCACCAGTTGTGTGCTTTTGCACACGTGTTCAGTTTTCCCTTCTATTTCATATGAAGTTGTTAGATTTTAGTTTTTCAAAAGATTTCTTTATTGTGGTTACTGTAGACTTGTGAGCTGAAGCTTGTAGGAGAGCATACTGAAAACTATAGTAGCATATGGTGCGTTTTTGACTAGTGCAAGTGTAAGCTTGATCAAAGTACGAGTGCAGGTGAGTTGTTCAAATATGCCACTGAAGCAGTTTGCGAGCTATGCATAGCAGTACAACTTGCCGTTTGCTGCTGGAAATAAACTAAATTTGCTGGGGAAAGTTTAAGTGACTAAATGACAAGACAGACCTTATGCATGCTTTGACCTGTTTGTGAGTAGGTTCTTGTAGGACTTAGTGGGTTTTTTGTTTTGGTTGGTTTTTTTTAGCTATTTATTATAATGTCCAGAGGGTAGTAATATCTCTGTTACTGACTTCGAGCATTGATTCAGTGGTGACAGGAGGGGGAAGCAGTGTGCTGACAGAGCTGATTTGGTAGCCTGTTTTGACACTTTATTCATTATGTCTAATCTGAGTTTATGGATGGTATGCAAACTACTTAAAACCCACCAACTTTATATTCAAGAGCATCTTATTTAAGACTATTTTGTCTGTGTTTAGAGAAACATTCAATGAAAAGTAATATTTAATGTATTGTGGTATGAAAAAACTACTGGAAACTATTGTCAATTTGGAATTGCAATATGGTATTTTAATTTTTTTTTAAAGTTACGAAATACAATTTTGTTGCCATAAGTTGTATGAGGCTCTTCTTGGATTAAATGTGAGGCCAAACGTGTCTTAGACTTCAACAGGAACAGACAGATAGTATCTGCTATTATCCATGTAGAATAGAGTATTTCAGCTGGAAGGGACCTACGATAATCATCTGGTCCAACTTCCTGACCACTTCAGGGCTGACCAAAAAGTAAAGCGTGTTATTAAGGACGTTGTCCAAATGCCTCTTAAACACTGACAGACTTAGGACATTGACTACCTCTCTAGGAAGCCTGTTCCAGTGTTTGACCAACCTCTCAGTAAAAAAATGGTTCCTAATGTAGACTTCAGTTACTGAAGAATCAGTTTGTGTCTTGTTTCCAGACTAATAACCTGTCAGCTTTTCTAAAGGTGTTTCTTTAAAGGATTTTTCCTGAGCTGCTGTTGTCTGTTTCTTCATTAATATGTATAAGAATGTTTATTCGTGTTCATAAATATATTATATATAGTCTTCTGTGCAGCTGTTTCCTACTTTAAAATCAACTATTCCTCTGCCACATGGGCAACAGATACAGAGATAGAAGTGTTTTCTGTATCCTACTGTGTTGCAAGACATAATTAGTTGGAAAGATGCCAGTCCAGATCCTTTTCATGTGTACAGTTCTCCTTTAGCTAACTTTTGGTACAATTGTCTGGCTTTGAACTTTTTCAGTTGTGCAGGTTTTGTTTGCAAAGGATAAATATAAATAAATAAATAAACACCTTCACCCTGATTTTAGTGCACAAAGCAAGAAGTGATGTTGGAGAACTTGCTTACGCAGGAAGGTTTAGTTTACCACCAAACACAAAATAACTCCTAGAATAAATAGCTAGTTTAAAATTTTAAAAGCTTTCCTACTACTTGTCAATAAGATGTTGACCACGAAATGCATTTTCCTAGCTAAAGAACTGTCTGTTGCAGGGCTTCCAGCTGGAAAGGGGTTGATGTACCACCAGTTGACCTCCCTGCTGCTTATTTGGATGATGCATGTCTGTATCTGCATCTCAGTGAAAGGCAGTTTTTGTCAACAGATGTCTACAGTAATACTTTTTTTTTTTCCTTAAACTGCTGACTTGTTCAGGGTGCCTTCTAAACAACCTGTTATGGGAGAAGCATTTGAACAGAAGTCTTAGGATTTCAAGTCAGTAGAAGGTTCTTCTTGCTGTTTACTATCTTTGCGTGTGTAATCTATGTGCTTTGAAAAGTATTTCCCAATTGCTCTTGCACATTTGGTGGAGAAGACATGATCGCGGCTCTCTCTAGTTTTGTTAACTGTGGAACTTCAGAAGGGAATCTGACTTGAATCGTAACTTCCGTCTTGTATTACACACGATTCAAGAATTAATAAATGCAATCTGTAGAGGACCTTGCATTTTTCTTTTTCCCACCGTGTTGTGGAGGGGAAAGGGAGCCTTAACCTTGATGATTTGGACATAAGATTTACCTTTCATGGTTCTGCATGAAAAAGTCTTGAAAGAAACATACTGAAAAGAATCTTGAACAAGAAGGGAAGTATAATTGTTGGCTGCAATTGTGAGGATATTTTAGAGAGCATGGGTATACTTCAGAACAGTTGAATCTATTCAAAAGAGTATTTTAAGTCCCAAACAATTTAATATGTTACCAAATGCTGTGTTTGCAAAAGTAAAATGCTTGGTATGCTGCTGTTGGAGGGTAGTGAAAATTGTCTGTAACTGATGATTGTCCGATTGTTTCTCTTTCAGTACAACAACCATGAAATTCGTTCTGGAAAACACATTGGTGTATGCATCTCTGTTGCCAATAATAGGCTTTTTGTTGGTTCTATTCCTAAGAGTAAAACCAAGGAGCAAATTGTTGAAGAATTTAGCAAAGTAACAGGTAAGTCAGTAATTATGTATTGTAGAGCTGGAGAGATGTCAAACATGATCAGTGATGAACTCTCTTCACCATCTTTTGGCTTACTGAATGATGGCACAAATGTTTCCAAATGAAGACCATTTAGTGTTTGTCCTGACTTTAGGTGTTGGGGTTTTTTTTATACTGTTGCTGTGCTGAGGACTGAAATATCTGTGATTAGACTAGATGTGTGGTTCGAAGTATAACCTAGAGAATAAGCATGTAACGTTTAAAAAAGCCATTCAAAGAAATAGATGGTTTAATTTTTTCAATACTAATGGATATTTTAAACTCTTCAAGGCAAAGCTAATGCAAGTTGGAGAATGTAATTAGTTCTGTGCTTCATAATTCTTAGTGCTTTGATAAGGATCTCTTTTTGGTAATGGCTTATAAACTGGCAAAAGTTACATCTGATGGCTTGCTCTCTTACTGAATGATATACTCTTAAGTTCCTTGGAGCAACACTGAAACTTTTTAGATGTCTTAAAATCATGCAAGTTTGACCTCTTGTTTAGATATCCATGGAAAAAACACGTGCTGATAGGTAGTGTGACTTACAGGTTTGAGAGGAGAGCCCGACAAACCACAACTTTAGCTGCCCTTATCTTTTCTCCATTCAGTTAGAGGAAAGGTACTTTTCCATAGCTACTAAGCTTTCTTCAGTTAATAAAATGGATCCTAAGTCAGGATAGTCTGGTATCTTGCTTTGTGCACTAAAATCTCTCTGAAAATGTTGCTGCTGAAGTTAGGGGAACTTTAATATGTTGATGGTCTCAAAAGTCTAGTATGTTCATGCCTTTTTGGAGCTACTTGTCAGATGCGTACTTAACAAAGATAATCCCTACTTCGTAATACAAACTCATGTATTGAAGCCATAACAAATAAATATTCTTCTTAATTTCAGAGGGTCTTACAGATGTCATATTGTATCATCAGCCTGATGACAAGAAAAAGAACCGCGGTTTCTGTTTCCTTGAATATGAAGATCACAAAACTGCTGCTCAAGCCAGACGTAGGTTAATGAGCGGCAAAGTGAAAGTCTGGGGAAATGTTGTTACAGTTGAATGGGCTGATCCTATAGAAGACCCAGATCCTGAAGTCATGGCAAAGGTAATAAAGCTGTAAGGCACCGTAATGCATTTAAAGTGCTTTGTTCAAAAGTAAGTACTTCCTGACATTAGTCTAAGTTTAAATAGCATCTTTCAGTCTTCTTGACAGAGGTGTTGTAGGTGAGGTGATAAGAAGATGAATACGCTCTAGAATGGATGAGGACTTAAAAACTACTAGCTGATGTTATTTTGTGCTCCCAACGCTGAATGTTGAATGTAACTCTTGCCAAAAATGACACATAGGCCTGATGTACTTAATTTCACATCTGGAAGTGATGGTGACTCTGAAAGTTAAAATGGGTTTATAGCTTAATATTTGGAAGGACAGGAATCTAGGTAGGACCGCAGAACAAGCCTTAATTCTTTTTAACCCTGGAACTGGAACATGTCAGTAATAACCACATGTTAAGTTGCCTTTAGCAACCACATGTCAAAGTTGCCTTTAGCAGTTACTTCTGAGATGTTAGGTAGTTACATTGTATTTGGAACTCTGTTTAATTTGGGGGGGAGTTAATTCCTTCAAATGCTAAGACTAGTAATATTTTGGACTTTGAATATGTTAGTGAAACTGAACTCTGAAATGTTAACATTTGGAAGTACATTGTAGCAGTTGTTTTATATGTGTGATATTTTTGCCAGAAACTAATTACCTGAATTTTTTTCCATCAGGTAATGCCCAACCCTGTTTTTTTCAGTTATGTTGTGTAGCTGAGTTGTTTAATGGAAACTCCTAGCTAGCCCATATCCTTATCTCTTTCTCTTTGCTTGCTTTTTGTCTGTGCTTTTACTCTCATCTGAGACACGTCACTTGCTGGAGTCCTACTTTGATGGACCTAGTAAGATAGCTTGGCTGGGATCTCCTCTTTGGTGAGCCATAAGGGAAAAGGGTTGGGGTGGGGGCTCATTTTAGGGAAAAAGCTGCTTTTGTAATACAGGTATTACAGAAGCTTTTGGACTACCCTGCCTGCAGACTTTTTTTTTAACCCAGCATCATAGACTGTCAGCAGCAGGGAAGAGTCTTGCAGGTAAAATTTGTCAAAGGTGGCACTTCCTAAATACTGCGTTCTATCTATCTGTTCAGTTTTTTGGCTCAAAAGAGAAGAGACGTAATCCAGCAAACTGTACAAATAAATTAGCAGGAGCTTCTGCTGATGTGACTGAGTAAGTGAGCAGGAAGTGATAGCGGACATAATCAGGTATCTCTTCTACAGAAGTTTACAGATGTGGGGAGTGAAAGACTAAAGAAGGTAAAGCTTGATAGTGGTTTGCCCCATTTAATATGGAGTTGTTTGAATGTGTTAGTGCTTTGTATTGTTTGTATTTGAAATGTGATTTTAAAAGGGAAGAAACATTAATATGGAGAATGTGCAGAAAATCAGCTTGTATACTTCTAGTGTCATATGCCAGAGGTTGGTCATGGAGCTTGGGTTAAGATGCACGAAAAAGTGTGAGACTGAATGAGAATCCTGAAAAAGTAGAGAAGGTCTGTCTTTACTTTCTGTTGTTTATTGTTGTCTTTCTCTTAAGAGAGCCTCTGCACTGCAGCTGCAGTCAGTAATCTCCCAGATGTGAGCTGCAGGTTGGCTGTCATGGCCACTGAGCACTGTCAATTAGGTGCAAAGATAGAGCTATTGACCCTTTTGGTCTAACACATTCCTCTGGTAGGAGGCGCTGGAGGAAACACTGAGGAGGAGTAGGAGGTTGCTTTTATCAAAATAATCATCTGATCGGTGGTTTTCTTGTCAAGACTGCTGGAAAAGCAAGTCCATAAGAGCAAACTATGGGAAAGACAAATTCACCTTTATAGCCGGGAGGTCAGCAGCGTTGTTCTAAATACCTCACAGCAGCAGCATGTCATTTCATCAATATGGTTTAAACTTCTGAGCTTACTTGAGCCATTTTCTTTTTTCTTCCTGGCTGTTGCTTAAATGTTGTGGAGAGTACTGTATTGGGTGCATACTTAAAATTTAAATGGGCTGTTACCTTAAATATGAAGTACCATGAGCATGATGAGGTAGAAACCTAGCTTTTGAAGCTACAGGAGATTAATGCCTGTACTGATAGATCAGAGTATAATTGGTTAAGTAATTGATTTCTGGTCCAAAGTGAACTTTTTTCCAGCTTCCAGTAGCTGTGTTGATAGCTTAATTTCTCCAAAGTGTTATTTTGATACCTCTTACACTTGTAGTGCAGATAAATTTCTTAATGTTTTACTTAAATTCTGTAGCATGGCTGAGGCTACAGAGGACATTCTGGAGTGGCAGGTTAAGCAGCTAAATAAAGTCTTATGCTTGTGGCTGCCTGGTAGATTACAAGACAAGAGACAGGGGTAGTAATCGCTGGAGAATGTGGCAATGAAGTCAATTGTTTGAGCTGTAGGTAAGAGGAGGAAAAGGAGAAGTTCCCAGAAGTTTTGGAAGTAGTATAATCTTAAGCGGATTTGAAAGCAGATTCTGTCTTCATGACAGATTACTGCTGCTGATGCTTTATGGATCCATAGTGTTAAAATCTGTGAGCTGTAGTGAAGAGGACTTCCTTGCCCCCTACTCCCCTTTCCTCTTTAGATTGCTTAAATGGAGTAAAAAGGTGTTCATCTTCTCTCAACTTATGCTTTAACCTGCCTTCTAGCTTCGACATCTTTGACTGGTACAGCTATGTTTTTAACCTGTAACACAAGCGAAGGTGTTAAGAAAATTGTAGCTGGTAAGAAATAAATGGATTTGCCTACACTGGAAAAAAATTAAATTAGTTGCTTTTTAGTCCTTTAAAGATGTTGTGTTGGTGCATCTTGTAACAGAAGAGCGATTATTTTTTGAGGTTCTTAATCATGTCTTCTGACACTATATCAGTCTTTGTGGATTTATTAGTGATGGCTACTTAGGCCTCCTCATGAGCTTCTAGTTTTCATCCTTTCCTAAAGTACAAGAATAAGGAACATTTGTTTGAAAGTTAGTGCGGTTTTTTAAACCATTGATTGCATTGCAGAGCTTCCTGTAATTAATTTTCATGAAATAATGTTGAGGTAGCAGTGAGGACAGTTTACTAAAAATGGTTATTACATATGGGTTACAAGAGATAAAGGTTGTTCTTCCCGTGAAGACATGTAGGAGAGGTTTAACACAGGATAGGAAGCAACTTCCTTCATGGCGCTTGCTGATTCTCAGATTATAAAAGCCATAGCAAGAATATTGCCAAAGACTGTGGATATGGTAGGTCAGGTTTATGATCTGTTGTATCACTTATTCCAGACTGCATCCCATCCTAGCTCAGCTAGCAAATGAGACAAAGGTCTATGAGAGTCTATCCTGTTCATTTGTGACTTAATTAGACAGTAATTCATGTGAAAAGGTTGTCTGAGTTTGTTGAGTTCCCATATGTGGCGGGAGTAGAGATTATAGCTCTGCTTCAGAAATTGAAGCATGCTTTGTTTGGTCCCTTCAGACCCTGTGTTCTTTGTGTTGACCTTCAGGGTTAGGAGTGGGAAGTCTGCGCTGCCGTGTACTGTGTTCACTTTTTGTCATCAGCTAGTTTGAAACCACAGGTAGCAGAGGAGATGGGAGCAGAAGTTGCAGGTCCTTGCAGCTGATGTGCGGCTGTGTTGTAGGAAGAGCCGTTTTTGGCAGTAGGAGGTGACAGGACTGTCAGGGCACAGTGGCAGTGCGTGGGACAGACTCTGCCCAGCAAGTCAAAGAGGTTTGTGAATTGTGAGAGTGTAAGGATGACACCATGTAAACATGCTGGTGTGCAGTCATTTAGTGCAGCCTTGCAGTGGGAGCAAGGACAAGTCTTTGAATACTAACAGGTCACAAACATGTGATTCCTGGTGTCCAGTGTACATTGTCTGCTATGTTAAATAAGAGTCTAGTTTAAGCGTTTGGCAGACTGCTCCATATTTTCTTTTATCATAAGCAGTTGGTGGTTGATTAAACTTTATATTGATGATTTAGTCACTATCGGGCAGTTAAAAGCGCCTATCTCAATAGCTGAAAGAACCAACCTCTCTGATTTTATAAGCTGTATAGCAGCCTTTGCATGCTTTAGGGTGCTGGGGGAGGGAATAAACTTTCGGAGTTATTTGGAGGTGGTGTTCCTCAAGGAAGGGGCACAGTTTGACTTGGGAGAATGTCCAAGGTTGACCTGGGAGGTGGCCTTAGTATCCTCTTCTGTCAGCTTTCTCTCTTCTAGCTGTGGATTCAGGTCACTGAGTATCCCTCAGGCAAGCACAGTCCTCCTGACACTGGGTATTGGGTGTAGCTGTAGCATGGGAGCCACAAGTTAAGCAGCTTGAGAGCTGCAGGCCTGTCACCTCTGACCTAGATATTCTAGCGATGACTGTTCTGCAAATACCTGAGCAAAAACCTGGCTGCACAGCGAAATGTTTTGATAAGTTATTTTGTGTGTAACCAATCCTGGTTGCCTTCTCTTAAGTTAGAAGGTGTTCTATGTTGAAAATGACTGCTGCTAGGATTCTTCTAAACATTAACACTAAACCGGATTGACTTTCAGGATAGTAATACTTACGTAATCATGTTTGAAAACAGTTAATATTTCTATCATTTGGGGAATTCTGGAGCTAACTTATGCTGTACGAATATATAAATATTGTATTCATGTGTATGTATAAAAAATGCTGTACATAAAATGTAATGATATTTTCAGTGCTGCCAGTAGCAGTGACTTGCAAAACTTAATTGTGTGTCTTGGAATCAGATCATACTTTTAAGTATTATTTATTTATTTATTAATTTTTAGGTAAAAGTTTTGTTTGTACGCAATCTTGCCAATACTGTAACAGAGGAGATACTAGAAAAGGCCTTCAGTCAATTTGGAAAGCTAGAGCGAGTGAAGAAGCTAAAAGACTATGCTTTCATTCATTTTGATGAGCGGGATGGTGCTGTAAAGGTAAGTGGAGAGGACTGTAACTGTCTGTGTGTAAGTAGTGACTAAATGGAACAGTTGGAAGCAGTCTACTTCTTTTAACTTGAAAAAAAAGCTCTGTCTGGAGAAAGGCAGTTCATTGTCGCTGTGTTGTGGTTTAACCCGGATTACTTTGTCCTGTCAGGGTGTCTTGTAGGAAGATGCAGCTGCTAGCTTAAAAAGTGGATCTTAGATGCATCTATCCTAAGTAATTCTACTGATTAGTATCTAAGATAGTTATGTGTTATCATTTGAAACTAAGTCCCAGAAGTTGAATAATTCTTCTCACCAAATCATTGGTAGAATCTAAAGCAGGTTCTCTAGGGTGGGTGATTAAAAACTCATGTAGTCTTAATTTCCAGGAAAAGAATTACTTCCCTTTTTAAGGTATGGAATAAGCACCTTTTCTTTTTGATGAGAGGTGCTGGACAATTATCATTCCTGAATTTTGCTAGCCTGGTCTTGGGTGTTTTTTCTCCTGTTGTCAGTTGTTAGGGAAAGTGTAATTCCTCTCCTGTCTGAAGTGTATCTATTTTTTATGTTCTGTGGGAGGATGCAGGATACAAGGAGATTCAGTTTTTCTTGCTCACCCAGATGTCTTAAAGCAGATGCTTAGGGAGACGGTGGAAAGAGCCTTTTCATAGGATATGTATCCCATCAAGGCTTAGCTATATGAAGTCCCTAAAAGTGGTATAATCTTTAGCATTCCCCTGCTTGAATTTAACTTGTAGCAATTACTGTGACCCACGGGATGTGTGTGCGTGTGTGTTGGTGGGTTTTCTGTGTAGGATTGTTTTGTTTTGTTGGCAGTTTGTTGGGTTGTTTGGGTTTTTTTTGTAACCAGAATGAGACAAATTCTAAATTTTGGTTTCTAGTTTAAAAAGAAAGTTACACTTATTACAAGTAAAATAAAGGAATAAAAACGTACACTGATCTCTAACTTTAGTAGTGTTTGCATGTGTGTTGACATTAGAAATTTTTTCCCTTATTGCAAAATCTGTACTTTCAGAGGACAGTTCTGTCATTTCGTTAATTGAAACAGCTTGCAAAGGTTGAAGCCTATTTACAGTTTTGAGTGGAAGATTTCTAAACTGATACAGGCAGTCCTGGCTTTGAGAGCCGAGTTAAGAGGAAATGTCTAACTCTGGAACCCACAATACTATGCTGTCTGATTATTTTAACTTCCTTTTTTTACCTTTATATTGTTACTTTAGCTCTGGATAACAAATTTTAAAATGCGTGCTCTAAAAGATAGAATAAAATTAATAACTTCAGATATGCTTAGAAGTATATTTAAAGTCTGGTTAATTCCTTCAGGCAATGGAAGAAATGAATGGCAAAGATTTAGAGGGAGAAAACATTGAAATTGTTTTTGCTAAGCCACCAGATCAAAAAAGGAAAGAACGGAAAGCTCAGAGACAAGCGGCTAAAAATCAGATGTAAGTGTAAATGCATGCACATATGTTGTATTACTTCTGCAAGACATGTACACTCCTACAGAATTAGAACTTCTTTAGTAGGTATTCTATAGTGTGTACAGGTTTTCTGGCTTCTCTGAAAAT